CCCCAAAACCCCAAAACCCCAAAACCCCAAAACCCCAAAACCCCATAAGTCTTGACTTCTAATGAAATATAGTAATTAAAACTAATATGGGTAAGACTGATACGCCCGCTGAAGGAAAAATTGAAGAAGGAAATCCTCAGAATAAATCAAAGAGTAAACTCATGACTATAGTCGAGCAACATCTTGGAGATATTCTGACCATCCCAGTAGAAAAACAAGTTAAAGAGGGAAACAACACCATGACTGATGCTGAAGGGACAATGTATGCTTGCAACTTCGATGTATCTAAAAATGAGGAGGGGAAAAACACTTTTAACAAGTACACAAAAGAAGATATTCTTCATATCCGTTATAGAGGTCTTAACCTCTACACCAGAGTCAACTGGCCAAGATTCAAGTACACTGATAAAGATAAAATTAAATAAGACTGGAGTATCTAAAGATGCTTTCAATGCTTTCTTGGAGATAGTGAAATGCCCAGTCTGTCTAGAAGTGATGGACGATCCTGTCAATGTCAAAACCTGCCTCCATAAATTCTGCAATAAATGCATCGAGAAATATATTAGAGTTAAGAAAAAGGAATGTCCCACCTGAAGGACTCCAATTGGCTCTAGAAGACTTCTGAGGAAGGACAAGAAACTTAAAGAAATTATAGAGGGTCTTATTCCTGACCTGGAAGACTTTCAGAACTACGAACAGGAAGAAGTAGATAGAAATGTGAAGAAAGTCAAAAATTCAGCGAAATTTAAGCAAGATCAACAAAAGCTTAAGGCTATCAAGGAAAAACAACTCCGTGCTGAACTTGAGGAAAAGAAAGAGCCAAAGACTCCAAAGCTCCGTACTCAAAATTCTAGAAGGGCTGAACCTAGAACTAAAACTGGGGCCAGACCCGCCTCTCAAATGAGGGATCAAGGTGCTCGTCAAAAGAAAAGAATGAAGACAGAACATCTTGAGCATGAGTTAAATATCAGTTTCAAGGTAAAGCAGCTGATATTGGATCCTCATAAAACACCAAGAACTGCTGGAAGTGAGGAAAAATTGATGCAGGTGATGCTTCTAGAGACCAACAATGGATTGTGTTTGAAGCATTTATTACAGTACATCCAAATGAAGTCTAAAAATTCAAATATCGCTAGAAGAACCTTCTCCTTCTTTGTAAGAGGAGCCACCGAGAGAAACTCATTCGATAAAATCAAAACTTTAGACGTGAGTCTGAAGAAAATTCATGAGAAGTACTGGGCTAATACATCAAAAGTCCAAAGCATTTACTTTGCTATTGAATAAGATGTCTTATCAATCAAAATTTGTCTATCTTTCAAATTGGTGTTAACCCATAGGGGTTTTGGGGTTTTGGGGTTTTGGGGTTTTGGGG